TGTTTCGAGTACTCTACGCAACATATGTCAGGCCTCATCTAGAATACTGCATACAAGCGGCGAGTCCATGCTTCAAAAAGGAGGCACATATCCTGGAAAGAGTACAGAGGGTAGGAACGAAAATAGTTAGTGGTATCTCACACCTTCCTTATGATGAGAGGATGGAGCATTTAAGCCTCTTCCCATTATCATACCGAAGGAACAGGGGCGACTTAATTTTAGTATACCGTATACTTAAGGGTGATTTAGGAACTGACATTTCTAACCTCTTCTCCCCTTCTAGGATACATTTACGGGGTCACCGCAAAAAGGTGCTCAAACCAAGGACGATTAAAATACGTGCAGAATTTAGATTCTCTCACAAAGTGGTCAACGACTGGAACTCCTTACCTGATTCAGTAGTATCAGCTCCATCGGTGAACGCTTTCAAAGAGAAGTTAGATCTCTGAAGAGATATACTTTGCAAGGATTAACACAAGCCATAAGAGCCTTCTATCCTCATCATGTGAATCTGAGAAGTGCTGTGAAAGTAAAGCAGCTGGAAAATCCCCTGAATTACTCCATCAAGCTTGCAGTGGCAAAGACAAAGATACATTTCTTAACAGAATGTTTAGATAGACATGAGTATCCAAAACTGTACTGGAAAGCACTCAGACGAAACCACATACAACCGAAAATATCAGAACACTCAGGAGAGACACACTAAACCACACTGATTCTATTCAATCACGTGTTCCTGAACTAGGACGAAATGTCTATTTACGACTTCATGCAATCCACGATGTAGATCAACCACTACGCCAATCCTTTCAAGAATACGTCCAAGAGGTTACAAAGAAAAAGTCTGACAAGACCAAGGGAAATCTACTTTATATATCGTGTGAACATCACCTTCCGAGAGGCTAAGGTGTAGTTGAAACTATGCTTCTCCTAGCCAGAGAAAGTGAAAGAGATGTCTTCTTAATAACTTCTCTCAATTATGGTGGTTGGGGTTCATTTTATTGATCGAAGATTATTATCATCTCTGAAGTCATGTATTTGCTGCTTTTATTGCCAATCCAGGTAGCATGACCTGCTAATTATCGGATTATTTAGAACTCTAAGAAAGCACGACAGAGCTGCAAGTTGACGCCAATCTCCGCCCCCTCTCCGTAGATAACTATACTAAAAATATGTCCAGGTGGCAGGCAAATGGAGCACTATAAATATAAACTTGTTCTTCGATATAGTTAGAGAGACGAAATGACGCGGGCTGGTGAAAGCATTCTGAAAGCCAGTTAGCCCAAGTGTCTTCTTTCGATGAGAGCAAGGTGGAGCATCGGGAAGTGCAATGTATGAAAGTGGGAAGTCTTCCCAGGATTCCAAACAAATGAAAAGATCCAGCATAGAAAAACTAGAAATCTGAAAGAGCGGGTGGAATGGATTTAGACTCAAAAGGAAGGTAAGTTACAATCACTCAAAGTTATGCGCCTACAAACAACTCAGAACAAGAAGAGAAAGAAGAGTTCTATAGACAACTGAAAACAGTACTCGACAGCATGCCAAATATCGACATGAATGTTAAAATGAGAGTAGACAATACAGAAGACAATTCAAATGGGTCCTGAGGCGAAAGGAATGACAATGGAGATCTCTTCACAGGCTTTCGCGCATTAAGTGACTTGAGGTAGCATGCACAAACATAAGAATATATACAACGCGGCATGGATTTTACCTGACGGACACAACAAACGCCAGGTGGACTTCATCGCCAACTGACTGGCTTCAACAGAGAACTTTGCACAGATGTGCAGCAGTTCTACTCGCCACACTCCATGTCCTAACCACTGTGCCATATCACCGATTGTTTCCAGCTATTGGTGTTTACCGTCCCGAGGAACCCAACCAGCAGGTCTACAACTTCCTATGTGACTTAAACTCACTGTTGTGAACTTCGCTGCCTGATGAGGCCATGTTTTAGTTTGACTACCACTAGCTGTCTCCTCCAACCTGATCCTATGTCATCTAGCTAACATTGCCCATTGTTGAGGAAGAAAATAGATGATGGCTAGGCATGCGTAACACATGTCATAACCATCTCAATCGGTGTAACTTCACAACCCTCATCCATTGATTTCCCCTCCTTACCTAGCTCTCCACCAAAGCCTAACCTCAATATCGCTCACCTTAATCTACCACTACACACGGAAGATAGAACGCAGACACCTATGATCAAAGACAGCTAGCCGGCCTCTTCCTGTCCTCCACTCTCAATGGCCATGTCTCGCTCACAGTCATAAAGAAGGATAGAGCGGATTGCTGAGCAGTACACACACCCTTGGTTCGACAGCGCTAGATATGGAGTAAGTTGGAATATGTTAAACGAGCCTTCTGTATCCGTGCAGAGATTTCGTCAGTCATCGACCCATTGGGGATGATGCAACTTCCCAAATAAGTGAGGTGGTCAACACGCTCTACCACTTCACTACATACCTGTAAGCTAGGAGTCAATGTATTTCAGTCCAATCCCGTAGCATCATCTCGCATTTCGCAGGAGCGAATTGCATGCCGAACACACGCAGATTGCTGCTCAAAGTGTTCAGAAGACTCTGCATTTTGTCAGTGCCTTCACCTAGCGCGGAGGACTATATCATCAGCATATTCTAAGTCAACGAGATTATTCCCTGATAAAAAGTCCATCCTTGAGTCTCTGAAGTCAGTTAGGGTTAAGTCTACTAGTAGTACATCTATAATGAAATTGAATAGAAATTGGGACAGTGCGTATCCCTGACGGACACCACTAGTTGTCACCACTTCAAGTGACAACTCGCCATAAGCTCTTACCTGGCTGCATGAGTTCATCGCATTGTCAAGCAGGCAGAGATGCAGTCTGCTAGATACAAGAACGAAAAGCGGAGACAATGTGGGTTCGGACTTTTAACTAGTGCGACGAAACTACAACGTCAAGCTGAAGGCCTTCGAAGCAACAGGAATTAAATCCCAATTCATATTCAACACTCAGAAACTGAAGGACAAAACTAAAAAGGATACCTTCGTTTTATGTATCGTAGCGAAGTCCAAGACATTACTTTGCATCACTGAAGAAACCTACATGGAACTCTCTGGAAGTGATGTCTATCAAGCAACCAGGTCCCTACCCGGGAAGAGTTCAACACAGATGAAACCAATAAACTACGGTCAAGGGAATCTAATTACCAAAGAAGACAAACAAAAGAAGCCATGGGCTGATCACTTCCAAAGAACTCTTGAATCGACTATCACCTGCCACCCATCCAGAAATACATCACAACACAACGCACAGAACTTCCAGTGGACACCAATCCTGCGAAAAAAGTAGAAGTCCTGGAAGCAATCAGGCTACTGAAGGCCAAGAAGACAGCAGGACTGCACGGAATTCCATCGGAAGCCCTGAAAACTGATCGAGAAGAGCAGTGGATGTGTAGACAAGACTATCGCAAAAGTTTGAATGGAACAAAACGCAATTGAGGATGGGAAGAAGGGCTACCTTGTCAAACTATCAAAGAAGAAAGACTTAAGCCTTTGCAAGAACTGGCCCGGAATCACACTCTTGTCTACACCAAGTAAAATATTAGGTCACGTCATTTTATTGAGAAAAAGATACTGCAGATCCAGATCTCCGACCCGAACAACCTAGATTCATGAAAAGCAACTCATGTGCTGATCGAATTGCAACTCTACGCATCATCACTGAAAAGATCATAGAACGACAGTCGATACTCTATTTCAACCTCATCCACTCTGAAACAGCCTTCGACAGCGTTGGTGATGAAGTAATTTGGAAACTGCTTCAACACTAAGAAGTGCCTCAAGACTTTATCAAGCTCATTCGAGAGAAATATAATAATGTTAAATGCCAAGTTATCCACAAGGGAGAACTCGGCGAAGTGAAGACAGTAGTAAGACTAGGTTGCCCACTATCGCCCAAGATACTCCTGTCTGTGGTGCACTGGATCATACAACAGACTATGGGGAGTGAGAAGTCAGCAATGCGTTGGGCCGATAAGAAGACTCTAGGAGATTTGCAATTCGTGGATGATTCACGTCTGGTGTCACAAAGACTCGAAGATTTACAGGCGAAAACCAACAAGTTGGCAGAAGAAGCAGCAAGTATAGCACTTCAAGTAAACGTAGAGGAGACGGAGGTGATGAAGATAACCAAGCAACAACAACGACGGGCACCAATCACTGTTGACGGAATAAATTTGAACGAGGTCACTTTCTTCACTTATCTAGGCATCACAGATGAAGATGTTATACGAGATAGTTAAGGTACACCTTCATCACTCTGAAATCAATCTGCACATCGATTGCCCGAAGCAAAACGAACAAGATTCGGATTTTCGACACCAATATCGAGTCAGTTTCTCTATGTGGTTCAGAAACTCGCAGCGTCTGGAAAACCAATTCGGACAGGCTGCAGGCTATTATCAATAGCTGTCTTTCCTGACTTGATGCTGGCCAGTCGGAAAGGATTAGCAACAAGGAACCTTGAGAAGGAACTAATAAAGGAAATAGAGACGGATCGAACACACATTGAGGATACCACAGAATGACATCGGGCGTAAGGGCTTGGAGTGAAGCCTCAATACAACACAACCACTCGGGCTTACGAGGGTGACATGGAAGACATCATGTGAGGATAATCGCGGGGCTAGCCAAACAGCACCATCGAAAAGAGGACAAAGTGGAAATGTGCTGTTGAAGCCCTATGTTTCACTTTCAGACCAAAGGAATAATAATTATTACTATTATTATAATTAACCACTTCTTGGTCTTAAAGTGCATTTACAAAATCGAAAAATATTCTTTCTAAAATGTAATTAATAATTTGAAATCGTTATAATTCAATGGGACTGACGGAAATTCATAAAGCTAATAAAATAATAAATAAAAATAGGATGAATTCCAAGCACTCCTTAGCATCTGATGAAAATATATGTGAAAAAGGTATAATTTAAATTATGTTGTTTCCAAAGATGTCAATCTGATAGCCGAATTAACCAACACTTTGATGCAGGGTCATCGGTATCTGAGTCCTTTTCATCTTCACATTTCGGCCACCAGGTTTTGCACTTAGAGCGAACTTCTAGAATGAGAAACAAAGCAACGGAGCAATGTCATTAAGCGTGCCTCTGTAGAATGAATTTGAAAAAGTCAAACAATCACTTCATATTTCAACAGGTAAACAATCTTAAAATATCTGCTTACCTTTAGAGCATAAAAACGCAATAACATCGTGAACTGATGGAGGCTTTCCCGACTCGCATCTAGGAAACAGTTCAGCTAACCCTGTCGAAGAAGGATTGTCCTTATTTTCCGATTCAGAAACATCCTGACTGCGTGTTAATCTCACTGATGATCTCAAACCTTTCATCACAAAATTATGAGAAAACAAAGTATAGTGATGTGAATAATCAGAAATAGGAACGACAGAAATAAGGCTATAAACTGAATGGAATGGTTCTGTAAGATATAATGGGCAAATAAAGAGAATTTCAGGGAGAACTTAGATCGAGGTTACTGCTACCGACGCAAATCTGGCCGCATTTATCAATGTCACACTTTTGACTGGATTCAGCACATCATGTTGCTAGACCACTTAGTTCAAGATGTATTTTACTTACCATATCGTTTAATGCATGACTTTAGCTGGTGTAAACCACTTCGAGGTCATCAGCATATGGGAATGGTTCACCTGAGGTGAAGCAGTTACGAATGCTATTAATGTCAATTGCAAATAAATGTGTTTCTAGGACACTACCTTGCACAACTCCACTTGAGATCTGTCTAGAATGAGACAATACAGATCCGACTTTGGTTATTTGTACCCTGTCGCTTAGAAACGATTTTAACCAGTTCAGTAATGGGTTGCGAATTCCATATGAGTACAGCTTCTCAAAGAGAATACTGTGAGACACCATGTCAAATGCCCTAGATATATCGAAGTAGAGAACAATGACTAGCTTACGTGCTTCACGACTACTAGTGATGCAGTTGAAAAAGTCGAATTGGCAAGCAACGCATGATCTATTTTTGAGAAATCTGTGTTGAGACCTTGTAACAAGATCTTCCCTAAGTAGGTAGTCTGACAACTGATCTTTTACAACTTTCTCCATGATTCGTGAGATAACTGTGGTTATATTTATGGGTCTGTAATTACGGACGTTTGCCTTATCACCAGATTTGTAGTGCGGAATTATAAAGCTAATTTTCCGCTCACCAGGGTAAGTGCCAGTGTCCACAGATATTTAGACGAATTTAAGAAGTAATAGGGGTATATCACATCCACTGTTTTTGAAAATGATTGAAGCAAGGGCATCCGGTCACGTACTAGTAGACGGTCTAATGCTTTTAACTGCTTGTTCTATTAATTGGTTGGTGAACACAATGCTTCGAGGGAAGAGCTAGTAAGGGGGCGGTTTCACCAGGCATACGCGTTTCTAAACTAAAGTTTGCAAACCACTCACTGAAAAGTTCACAGATGGTGGGAGGCTCATTGTAGATTACTTTGTCGTGAAGTAAGTAGGGGATTTCCCTCGTCGACTGCATTAGTTTTTTAAGAAGTGCCGTTAAGTTATAAACTTTGGAGGTACCTTCAAGTGCCGTTAACTCTTCGTCGAGGTCCCTTTGAGAGCGTAGGCGCTTGATAGATTCAAGGGCCTCGTGGATTGAGAGCAGTAGTGATATATCCTTAGTGGAATAGTACTGTTTCTTCAACTTCCTTAACTTATTGCGGTGTGACCTTGGAATATATTCAGCTCGGTGTCTACTTAATTTCACTATTTTCTTTGGAGCAACAGTGTCTAGACAAAGGGTAACATTCCTGTAAAATGGGGAGACTACAGCCTCCAGGGAGTCAGTGGTAAAATAGTCATCCCATTGACAGAGTCGAATAAGCTCTTGGACTAATCCCCGGTCCGTATATTTGTAACCACGACATATCATGCTCCCCGAATCTTGTTTGCTTCTTGTATTTAGTGGTGAGAAAGGCAGAAAGCAGAGTACCATCCTGTGGTCACTACTGGAAAATCTATTGCTAACATAGGTGGAGACTGGGACTGTGTCGTGACAAAAACACTAGGTCCAACATATTGTCACCACGAGTAGGTGTCTGGACGTGTTATTGCCATCCATAACAATCGATAGTGGCAAGTAATTCGTCGAAGCGTTGGGGGCCGGAACTACTTAAACAATTGACGTCTGGAAGACTGAAGTCTTCTGCAATTGTTTTGTAATTAGTATTAAGCGAGGATGCGTGTGCAAATGATTTAGCTAATAACGCATCAGTTTCTTTCGTTGAGCATGGTGCTCGATGAACACAGCCTATGAGAAGTGTGTGCTTATCTCCATGTAAGACGATCCAGAATGAATCAGGTACCACATCCAGTACTTCATCTTCCACCTTACTGACTACGAATGTGTTATGTGTATATATGAGACATCCTCCACCACGCTTGCAATCTCTATCTGCACGGTGTACAGTGAAGTCATCTATACTTATAGGCCTATCAAGCATAGAGGATGAGCAGCATGATTCAGTTATCAGAGCTACAGTAGGGTTGGAGATTAATAATGATGTCCTTAGTTCAGATATCTTATTGATTAGGGAATGTGCATTAATTAGTAATATAGTAAATAAGTCACGGGAGACTACAAACTAGCTTAAAATATCACCATAACCTAATTCTATTTGTGCTTCAGCAGGGGAAGAGTTTATGAATGATAAGAGCGTCGGACTGGGTGTTCATACATTTTTCAGTGAGGCCTTATTTACAGGGATACTGATAACTAAATCAGTTTCTGGTTCCATTGGCAGGCGTGGTTGCTGTGTAGTTCGTTGAATGTTACTGACAGTACTAGGTGAATGTTTCTATACACGATCCACTTTTGGTAAATTTAAGCCAGAGGAGGTGACCAGATAATTACCACGCATTGTTCTGCGCTAATGCGGTGTTTTATCCTGAGATATGGTTACAGATTTATAACTGCTATTCAGTCTTAAGCGATCCTAAAATTTAGTAAACTTACTACCATCAAGAGAATTACTGAACTTAAAAATGATAAGACAATTAGCCTGGGTCGACTTTTCACGAAGTCTTTTGCATTAGCACGGCACACTAACTATGCAGCAACAATCCAGGGTTTTGTGTTTTATAGTCTTCAGAGGTATTGAGTCTGAGAGACGATCCCCAACAAATTTCTCCCAATGATGATGGTTAGTGACTGTTGTTAATGGTCGGATATCTCTATCGCCTCTATCTTCTTCACAAGCACCTGAAGTCGCACCTTTGTGTAGCTTGCGAAATTTCCGCTTTAAGAAACATGAGACATCATTTGTCTGTGAAATCTAGATCTCCTATGGTTTTTCGCTCTGCCCAACGTGTGCACTTCCTCTCACTGCTTGAGGTTTTTCGGATGGTCCGATCCCCCACAATCGTTAAGACAATCAATGATAGTAGACAGCCTTATTTCTTACTCCTGTTTTCATTTCAAAGACTTCGGTGACCTTTCCCTTGTGAAACACTTGGCACGCAACATTACCATAAAGCTGCTGAAGTAATACCCTCAGAATAAAAAAGCATGAAGGCAAGCCTACTGGGAATCTCAAAGTCATGTGAGTACTTTGATGTGATTGTTAGCAATGAGTTGTAATTTAATCATAAAACAGTTAATAAGATGGAGTTGTCTGTCACATTCCCAATGTGCTATTTCATCCAACTTTCATTATCATAGAACAATCATGAAAACTGAAACGATTACAGTAACTAGTTTGGTAAAATACAGGTTTCTTAGTAGAAGAAATCATACGGGGATTATTGCAATCGGAGCGTTTACGTAAGACACTGCGGTTATTAACTTTATAAGTTACTAGCTAACAGAGAGAGCATCGGTGGCATAATGGTTAGGACACTCGCCGACCATGCACATGGTCCTGGGTTTGATCCCCGGCCGACGCACTCCTTTACCTCGCTAAGCCAGAAGTAGTGTGTGATTTCAGTATACAGATACCTGTTTCCATGGATAAATAAATTCCTTACTTGGGTACGATTAACAATGTTACAACTAGCTGAAGACATAAATTGATGTCATTTGATATATGGTGACTAGCGGTGGAATCCAAAATGCGCTTTCCACCCTATCTGGGACGCATCGTCTAGATGTGCCTGCGACGCCAGTAAGTGATGGTGTTCCCATCGGGACTCGAAGCCAGCACTCATCGTGGTCTGGTGGCTTTGGAGTCCGGAAAGAGGGGTGTCAAGTCCGGGTCTTAGTGGGAATACCATCACTTTCTGAGCATCTAAGGCACATAAAGCTGATGAGTTCCCGATTTCTTAACGCACAGACATCGTCAAAACATCTGCGGTATGAGCAGACATGATAACAGAGGCCGAAAATTTCCGTTTAATAGAATAAATCAACGGGAAGTACTAAACTAACTGGAAAAAAACTGTTCCAAGTCATACTGGTCCAAATATTTCTGTGGGAAATCAATGGACGTGTTTCAAGGAATATTAATTCAACTTCTAGACGTTCGATTCACAAAATGGTACAACAAAAAATAAATTAAGCTTAAAAAGGAATTACTATATCTCATTGAATTTTCATCCTCATCACTCCTGTGAGATGCTGAATCTGATCTTGCTAACCGCAACTTTTTAAGAATTTTGTTTCTATTGGCTTTCACCTTACGCAGCATACGCCTCTCTTTGATCAGATCCATAATGGTTACATTAGATCTTTTCGGTCTCCATGTGCCAGAAATTATTCGCCGAACAGTCGCAGTACCCCGGCCTACATGATTAGCGATGAATTCAATATCTTTGCCGGCTTCATACAGTTTCAATACTTTGTTACGTTCCCATAAACTTAGGCAACGCGCTTTTTCTCTAAAACAGATTTAGAATATAAGGGTTGAGTCAAATAAGTTAGAACAATTACATATCCATAGGTTATAAAAGTAGTGATCAGGTGCGACAAGTTGAAGTACCTGATTTCAGTCGGATTTTTCATACGCCCGATAAAACATCGCTTTACTGTACCTTGAAAAAACAGGATACTTAAAAAGAAAAGACATTATCAAGCAACAAAGCCAAATATTAACTTACAAGGTTTAACACCTGTGAGAAGTAAATTATGTCCTCAAGATAGCAAATATCTATCAGAATTTTGTCAAAGCTGCTAATCAGAAATTTCTGAAAGTGCAATAATATCATAACTCCTTAAAGATCATCTTAGATATTAGATATCCTTCAACAAAAGCTTCCTTATTCACAATGGCCTAAAATCTAAGTAAGATTGGAAGTGACACGCATGACATTTGCAACAACATGTGTACATTTTAAAAACAGCAACATCAACCTAGTCACCGCTATACAAAATAAGTGAGTGAAAATACAGTCCAAAACAAAAACAGTATATCTAAAAATAAATATCCAGTAGACCTGGTAGACCGACCAACTAAATACTGGCATCAATACTTACAACTTTAAGACATTTAATACAGCCTAGGCACCAAAAAAGTATATAAGAATATATACAGAAAAGTCAAAATGAATGCAGAGGAAGAGAATAAACACATAAGTATTATTTCATAGTATTAAGGACATACTTGCTGTTTTATGCTAATTCCTAGTGTTGCAACATGACTTTCGTCAGTTCCAAAATTGAATAATACATAACCTCACAAGATCTCTCGGGTTCCATTACAGCATTCACAAAACCCCAAAAGATGCTAACCGTGACGACACATCAGGATCCTTCGAACTACTTTCCACAGTTCCAAAAATTGTATGGATAGTGCTGCAAAACAAATCCACAACACCACGCTTACATTCCCAGAAGATATCGCGACTTTCACACCCTCTAAAACAGGGATGCACGACCTCAGAGTGCCGTCACATCATTTCGGCACATTCTCATAAATCTGAAGGAGGGAAAGTCAACTCCCACATCAAAGTGTGTGAGATACCCACTAAGAGTCCCTAAAGTTTTATCCTAGGTTGTTACGGCGGCCGAATGTCTCAAAAATAAACTAAAATTGTGTGACCGTCATATTGCGAGGATGTTTTTTAACTGAAATCCTTACCTTCCAAGCACAGGCAAGCCCCAGAATTTTTAACATCCTCAAAAGAAACAACTCTTCGTACTACCTACGTCTGCAAACAGGTGTCAAGTGTTCGTTTTCAGATGAGCCCGAAATTCCCCAGTGCATCTGAAACTCTTCTTATCCGGGTAGTGCGAAGAGACAGGTGAACAAACATACAGGACTTCAATACAGCAACTCAATAAGACCACATCCATGAGGAGAGCAGGACTGCATATATTTAGCTACTGTATAATCCTAATCACTACAGTTTATGATAATATTTCCTTTCCGTTGCTTGATGGGAGATTCTATTCGAAACATCTTCAACAGGCCTCAGCAGACATGGACACATGAAATTCATAACTACATTTAACAGACAGTGTCCTACATCTTTTAAGTTTTACTTCGAGGTACAAGTATTTAGGCCTATTTTAATCCTCTCTTGATAGGTATCTCAGCTTATTCATTCTCCTCTTCAACAGGTCGATTGAGGCTACAAACACTAATGCTTCTGGAAGTCGCATCCACGAGTTAACCACTCCATAAGAGAATCAGTGCTCCACTCTGATCCTGATCCTGATGTCTAAAGTGAAGACAGACCAACTCCACACTAACTTCTGATAATTTTGAACATCCTGAGTAGATGGTCTGTCTGCTTACGGTGTGACAAGATCACAGATACACAACTTCACTCCTCGTACCATAGATTCCTCATTGCAATAGGCATACGCGTTACTGTCCTTTCAACTCCTTCTGTAATAAGTTCTATTTCTGGCGAAGGTTGGTCCCCTGGATGCATTTTCCTAGTTTCTACCACACCACATTTATATACGAAAAGGTACACACTTCACTGGTGATTCTACTAAAGGACCAGGGATCTAAGCCTACTAGCTGTCACTGTGTGTGCCACAGGCTGTAGACTACGATTTACGGTGACGCGTAATTCCATGTGCACCTGAAATGAGAGCAATGTAATTCTGTCTGTCACATTCAGTGACATTTGTGTGCACTATTCAGACTCCGATACATTTATGGGAGTATGAATTCTTTGGTCAAATCCAACTGATTGTTGTGATTCGTTTGCGACGGAAGTAGTCGTTGTACGCATTAGGCTTTCTTCAACTTTTTGGCACGTATTTACAGAACCATAGGGGACTTGGTGAACCCAGGTACTTCAATAATATACAGGATATATAGCACTGTCAAATACAAAGCCCTATTGGAGAACATTTTCATCAACTTAGTCAAATATTTTTGGAAATGACATAGATGATGCATCACCAGCTTGCTAGGTAGTTTGTCCGTTGAAAACATGTTGGGAACTCGGTGGAAGTGGCTATCTTACGCTGCACTTTTACCAACTTTTGGCCACGTATCAGCCCAACCGATATTGCCCATTTTCTCACTCTAACTAAGTACATTCTCCACCTGGGTATATTGTAACACGCAACTACGTACTGTTGTTCAGAAATTTTCAAGTCGACCCTAACTCTGTATCCAATTAACATACAAAGTTCTTCATCTAGTTGAGTAAGCTGCACTTAATTCGCGAACTTCCTCATTTATGAGCTATGTAACTATTATTATAACCTTTTATTCTATGAGGCATCTTGTCAAAACCATGTAGGAAAAGTCTGCTGCTCAAACTCAAATTCTGGATTATCCAGTAAGCAAATCAATATCATCTTAAAATATATGCCTATGTGTAGGGATTTAAAATTTCATACACAACACTCACTTCAATCTACGCATACGTGGCGCCTTCATGCAATAATTTGACCACTTAGATGAATGTAAGAACTTTCAATTTTCAGGGGTACATACTACATATAAATTGGAATAACTAATTCTTCAGGGAATGAGGATTGTAGAATCTCTGAGTATGTATGTTTCACTCTATAATTAGAAAAGACATTGAATATGCTTTCTATGCGCTGGTAATTCGACAGCTAGGCTTGTTTCTAAGATGAAGATTATTTTTTGATTTTTGATTTACAGCTTGATTCCACATTGTATTTTTGGTACAAGTATGGAATTCTCAGCATGGATATCGGTAGCCCAAATTTTGCAGGCCGACCATTGATTTCAGGTGTGCGTCGGCAGAGGATCGAACCTCGGACCATGTGCATGGTCGACAAGAGTCCTAACCACTGTGTCACCGACGCAGATATCACCGAATTTATCACCTTTGTCCTGTGCTGCAATAGACCTTATGATTGACTTGTATTCGCATCTGAATAGTGTTAAGCGATTCCCTAACTTTAGTGTATACCTGGATTGGCAGTCCACTTCAGTAACTTCATTCAAGCTAAGCTCGCACTACTTAGTGTCCATGTATGACTGACGCTTATGTCCACGACCTACAGGTCACACTCTCATCACTCGAACACCCTAGTGACACCCAGTTTTAGGCGTGAACTCACGGCCATAGGCCATCACTAAGTTTGCTCATATATGAAAATATCATTCCAATCTGTAGAAGTGTTAAAATTTGTAGGCAATCTGTGACATTTCTTGGAGATAATTTCAAAATAGTAACTCACAAAGCTGTTGGCGAAATGTACTCTGTCCACATCAGTGATTCTAAGGCCTTAGATCCATATGGCCATGCATATTGGTGGCGGATTGCTTGTTCGATTTCATATGGTCTTTGTGTGGATTTGTATCGGCAACAGTAACCTTGATCTAACTCTTGAAATAAATGGGCGAAAACTAACCAAGCTCAACTCAGTCATAGATCTCAGTTTTAGATACTCTAGTAACTTAGCGTTCTCTGAACAGACCGATTATGTCAGACGCAAAACACGAAGGCTGATAGGATGCATAACACGCAACTTCTTTTGTTGTGAAACTAAGGTTTTATCATAGAAAGTATGTGTCCGACCTATCTTAGAATACTGCCCGTTTATTCTTAGCGGACTCAGCCAAAATGACAAGCTTAAATTAGAGGGAGTGCAGCGGCAATTTTGCTCAAGAATTCTCGGTTTAGAAAGTGCTCTGGAATATCATGAGCGGTGCGACTCTTTAAGATTTTAACCAGTTTGGAAAAGACGTCTAAAGCTAGAGCTTATCTTTTACTAGAAGCTAACTTATCTTCTTTTGTATTCCTCCGAGTCAATAACTAAACCTACCGCTGTCATGTGTTTCAATCTTAGAAATCATCACAACCTAGCTGCTGTAGAGTATTATCCCACCTCCATACGGTACAACTTCTTAAATAAGTTTTCAGTCATTTGGAATAGACTATCAGCTAATGCGTTTGATGCAAACAAACTCCCAGTGTTGATCTCCTCAGTCACCAGGCTGCTCAAATGTTACAATGCACTTCTACGTTTGACTCTTACACCCTCTTTTTCACCCTACATAGATATTTTAAGTTCGTTAAACGTATAAGTTACAACAAACCATAATTATAAATTTTATTATTATTAGAACTAGATGATAAATATTTCCACACAGAACAGTAATATTAGTTCACACATAATATTAAAGTTAGCATAACGGGACTAGTTAGTTAGTGCATCAAAATAACCATAGTTACTAGACAGAATATATATGTATTTATTAATTAATCACTCCTTGAAGACTGCTCTTGCTTTTTTTGCGTTGCCGCTGTTTGTCTTCTTTTTTGTCTCACCATTTTTGATTCCATTTGACTTTTTCAATGAGAATGAAGAATGTGGACATTTGACCATTGACATTGACAAATGATCTGCAAACATTATTGGTCCCATATCTTATAATTCCTTCGTGAATTACGTATTACCTTCACCCACGACCCAACCTGGATTACAATTGTGGAATACACCTTTATACCAACAAAATAGTATTGATTTATAATACTTCGCAATTCTTGCATTTCTTGAAAACACCCGTTTATCAGAAAATATATACTATCATTAATATTATTCTACACTGAGTACAATTCACTTGTAATGTTACGATGAAAATGTTGACAAAACTGTACAAGTGTATCACTTATTTTAAATCATTACAAAATTTGGATACAGATGAGGAATGAGACTCGATCCTGTACACACCAATGTTATACGGGGAATTACTTTAAGTTTTTCTTTTTATTCAAGTATTTACAATGGGCGTTGATACGGCATATTCCCTATTTGAATTGGCGCCTCTGGCTTAACCTTGACGGCATTTCTGCGCTTTTATTGATTCGAGTTGGAGCTAGTCGTCCAGGCAAACGAAGTAGACGCGATTTCTGGGCTTATTTTGCTCTTGTTGGATGAATTTATATGAAAATTGTTGTTCGCTATTGTTCCTGAGCATTTAAAGATTGTGTATGCGACAAGAAGCTTAAATACATGGTTCACGCAATGATTATTCCGCATACTAAGTAAGCTTCGCGTACATTTCGATGACTGTCTTTCAATGGATTTCTTTGCAGCTTGGTGGAAACCTGTACTCGATCATAAATTTCCCTACCGGCTGTTGTGCAGTACCTGTTTCTGTCGCAGGAACCAAAGAATATGGTTGATGTCGAATTCATGGATGCTTCTGCACTTTTGTGTGGTGTTTTTATAGCTGAAAGTCAATGGAATGCGTAGATACAAACGAAAATTAGTGTTCACAGATAGGCAAAAACAGCAATATGTTTTACGACCACTTACAACATTTACTGTTTTCTGCCAAAGTTTTTAAACGAGTTAAATGCGCACTGCAACACTCTAGTAATTTGGCTGATTCGAATACCATCCTCGTGATCAGGCACGTAAAGACATCTGAGGTGTACGTCATTTTGTCCAATTATTGAGTTCAGTTTCATAAACTTCCGGTTTCGTTATTATCCTGACTCCATATTATTTACGTTTGTTCGAAGTTAATTCGCGAAATTATTTTGAAATCGCGTAGAAGAAGTGTCCGACATCTCTTAAAGCTATGGACGTAAGGTTTGGAAGCGGATGCTATATCCATTTAGGGAGGGTGTCATCAAAGTCTCATAAACCGTTAATGCCCAGCTCTCGCTACGCTCGGGCCCACGCTGTTCTTAGAAGATTTCTCAGAAACGCTTAGTTATAACGGACGCAAAAACCAAAACACCGATCTGCCGTTTGATATTTTGTATTGTTACACCAACATATAAAAGGAATAAACGAACTAAGCAACTAAGGTCTGTAAACAAATATTACAATAATAAATCTCTGTATTACTTCTGACGATGTTTCAATCTTCTTTCTGAACAGCGACCGATGAGACGATGACTGTCGTATTGATGCCTCCGCGAAAATCGAGGAAGTTGATTTTGAGCAAACAACCAAGAATTGATCGTTCAATCTTCAACTCCATTGACACTCCCCGGCAAAAAAGGGATCCAACCCTTTTTTCCTTCACGACCAATGCACGTTGACTTGGATGCCATTGCGAGAACCTGGGTCACACGGACAGAGCTGAAATGGAAAACAAACAGAAAAGCCAACACACCACAAGCATACCCACAGCACAATCTCACACATCGCTGACGACCTGCGCCTCCAGACAGAGACCTCCTCTTGACATCTTGCAACACAATCGCCACTTGCTAGAATGACTCTTGCAGAATGCAACGTGACCATAGCAGCACCTCATGATACTCTTCAAGCATCCTCTTTTCTATTCACTATCAATTATCACTGAAATCGCTTGTCACTCATTCTGCCTCAGTTCTAGTAGCGGTGACGCATGCGAGCCTCAGTCGTTTACACTCTTTCTCCCCGGCGTGTCGGACCGCAGCTAACAATTATCTCCGTGTGCATTTCATTCTCAGCAATAGCCTAGCCTCCCCGGCGTATACGACCCATCTGCTGTCCTTAACATCAATCAATTCATTCACGGATGTAGAAGACTGGACACAACTTCAGAAGTAATCACGACGAAAATTTTAACAAAATTATGCAATAACAACAAGGTACGAAAACAACGAGTAAACACAATGAATCCAAATAACACCAATTGATATGACACACCACACGTATATACAAACAGTACACACAAACTCGCATTTCATGTCTTGATGGAATTCCTTTGAAGAATTGCAGGACTTACACCAGTACGCCTACAAACCTTCACAGGTTGACGATTGTAAGTTGTGGAATGTCCAGACACAAACAAGATTAACCAACAATTACATCAATTGGAACTCACACAACTATTTAACACAAACATATGTACAATCAACACATCAAATGTTGTGGATTCTGACACGACAAACTACCCTTGAAGAACTGTAGGACTTACAGCAGTACGCCTACATTCCTTCTCAGGTTGATGATCCAAGTGGAAGTCGTCCGGACACAAACAGAATTACCAACAGCTAGATGACAGATGATATCAATTCAGTATATACAATATGAACATATGTACAAGATCATACACCAAGCACATTGGACTGCTCATTGATGCGCTACCCTTTGAAGAATTGTAGGACTTACAGCAGTACGCCTACAACCCTTCTCAGGTTGACGCCCTAGGTTGGAAAATCGTCGCAGAGTTCATTTGCTAACTTCCTTCTATCAGCTATATCCTCAAATCTGAACGGCAACACGCCCATGTCATTGTATCGTAGAATATAGATGACCAACAAACACACGACATATCTCATCAACCAAGTATAGAAACAGAGTAATTTACACCAAAGATAATAACATTCAAATAGTAACTTGAAACTAGAAATGCCTTTATTCGTGCAAGTCAATTTAACAATAACTCTCTCCTTTACACTTGGCTTATCCACACTAAACTGACCATTGATATTCGTCCTTTCAAACGAACTG